CTGTGCAGCCGGCATTGTTCCAGATCTCGGCTTGCGATGCAAAGTAATCTGCCAACTGAGTTAGGCTCAAATTGGAGAGCATGTTATTGATGGAGGGCAACACAAACTTTCCATAGAACGGTTTGATATAAGGCTGAATCTCCTCGGTGAACAGCACGGAGAAGGAACCAATGATATCGTTGAAGTAATTGTTAGCGGCAATGTCCAAGTACTTGTCCCAGTTGTCAACCTTCACATCACCAACATAATAGTGCAGGTTGAAATCGCTAATGCGCAGTCCATTGGAGTTGCTCAAGCTCTGGGCGAACGTATAGTCGCCCACAAAACGCCAATCCGTCAGTTTCTTGTTGATGAGAACACTTTGGCGTATTGGAACTGGGAAACCAGCAATGCTAATAACGCCCTCCACCTCATAGGAACCAAATATTTGAATCTCGGGATACAAAACATCGTAGGTGGAACGCAGCGTGTTGGGGTTGAAGCTGCCGCTGAGCACCTGGAAGTTATTCAGACCCGAGATGCGGATGTTGCTCACATTGCCCACAATATTTGTCTCTCCGTTGTTGTAGTCAAAGGCGTAGAAGTCGACAGTCAGCGGAGCCATGGCTGGAATATTGTCGGGAGCATAGCCACAAGGTAACATCTTCTTCCAGGCATCGAGAAACATTTCAACGGCTTCGCCATAGTTGACCATGCTCCTGTCCTGGGTGACGGGTGAGGCACTGGCCACAACGACCAAGAGCGCTAGTAGAGAAAACTTTGCTATCATTTTGCTTCGTTAATGATAAAATGAATACTGTGAGGTATGGGCCACACGCGTTGACTTTTATAGGCGAATCGTTATCTTTGTACTTTTTTTGGCTTGATCGTGTTGATAGATCGCATTTGAATTGGCCGTTTCGGCGTTAAGGTACCACGTTTCATGCGGTCTTATCATATTAAACTGAACAATCTATTGTATGACTCAACACGATTTATTTATTTGACTTAAAGGATTTAATTTGAAGGAGGCAGTTTGAAAATGACTCACATTGTACATATTGTGGTTTATTTTATTTTCTCTAAATATTAAATAACAAACCAATTACGCTCTTGACTTACTGAGAATGCTGATAAAATTGTAATTTCAATCTGATATACAAGCAATTGTTTTGCGAGTTATTCAGATATATATATATGTATGTACCAGACATATTGGTACCATTCGTACTTCATTCAAATATAAAATAGTCAAGATTGATTCAAGATGGGAAGTTCACATCTAAGGTAATTAGTTTTCAAGAAGTATATTATCATATGTCCCTCTTATAAAATATTAATACCGGACTCATAAAAATGTACAACAATAAGTCCATTTTAAGGCATTCGATTGATCTTATACGTTCTGTCGATTATTCCTAGAATAGATAGTTTAGTTTTATTTGATAACACCTTGTGAAACAGCTTAAACTATTAGTTCCACAAAATTTCAATCTATCAAAGGCGCCTACCGAGCAATTAATAGATAACGATTCGCCTATAAAAGTCAACGCGTGTGGCCCATACCTCACAGTATTCATTTTATCATTAACGAAGCAAAATGATAGCAAAGTTTTCTCTACTAGCGCTCTTGGTCGTTGTGGCCAGTGCCTCACCCGTCACCCAGGACAGGAGCATGGTCAACTATGGCGAAGCCGTTGAAATGTTTCTCGATGCCTGGAAGAAGATGTTACCTTGTGGCTATGCTCCCGACAATATTCCAGCCATGGCTCCGCTGACTGTCGACTTCTACGCCTTTGACTACAACAACGGAGAGACAAATATTGTGGGCAATGTGAGCAACATCCGCATCTCGGGTCTGAATAACTTCCAGGTGCTCAGCGGCAGCTTCAACCCCAACACGCTGCGTTCCACCTACGATGTTTTGTATCCCGAGATTCAAATATTTGGTTCCTATGAGGTGGAGGGCGTTATTAGCATTGCTGGTTTCCCAGTTCCAATACGCCAAAGTGTTCTCATCAACAAGAAACTGACGGATTGGCGTTTTGTGGGCGACTATACGTTCGCCCAGAGCTTGAGCAACTCCAATGGACTGCGCATTAGCGATTTCAACCTGCACTATTATGTTGGTGATGTGAAGGTTGACAACTGGGACAAGTACTTGGACATTGCCGCTAACAATTACTTCAACGATATCTTCGGTTCCTTCTACCTGCTGTTCACCCAGGAGATTCAGCCATATATCAAACCGTTCTATGGAAAGTATGTGTTGCCCTCCATCAATGCCCAGCTCTCTAAACTGGACTTGACTCAGCTGACTGACTACTTTGTAATGCAAGCCGAGATCTGGAACAGTGCTGGCTGCAACGTTAAGGCCTAAGAATGGACTCTTCAACTTGCATATATGCACAATAAATAAAAAAGCAATTAATTAAACTAAGCATTTTGTTTAATATGCTCCGGGTGTCAATGTCTGGGCAATGCAATAACTCAAATAATAGTTTTGGTGTCTCTAGTTCCTAAACCATATTTGATTGTTGCCTCATTGTATATCAATACATTGAACTGTTTGTCTCGACTGATTGCATGGAGAACTGGAGATTAACCAATACCACATGAGCTAAACAGCTGAATTTTAATTGATTTACATATGAATTTATATGTTTTCACCTGAAACTTTGGAATATTCATTAAATTATAATCACGAATTTATGCTTTGCAATTTCCGAATCTCCCCAATTGAGAACTAAGATTGAATGTTCAAATTTCATCAGATCAGTGTACATTCTTTATAATCATCATAACATAATGAATACGTGGTCCAAAGTCGCACGGGGAGTGGACGAAAGCGAGTAACACCCTCTAGTTAAAATAATATTTTATATATTTGAATAACTAATGGAAAATGAAAACTTAAGTTTAGCCAATATTTAGCCTCTTCCCTCTACCGTAGTCATTAGGCTTTCAGACTTGACAGATTTTAGGAATAATATTATGAATCCTTTAAATGATAAAAAAATAAAATCAACAGAAAAAACGAAAAAACACCCTTCATTTTATATATGAATCTATTAGAGCCCTGAACAGAATCTCTACACGGTTAAAAATTGTACGTGGAACTGACTCAAAGCAATATATTTATATTCCTTAGCATAGTTTTAGTAAAATTTAATTATTGCTGAAGGGCTTTTCATTGCACACTTTTAAACTTCTTTGGGGTCGCCTACCGTTTCGTCGGCTCATGTAGAACATGGGCCAAGGAAAAACCATAATAACGAATTGCCTAAAAGTATACACTGTACAATTTATAGTGTCTATAAAATAGTAGTAGATTGCCCACAGATGAAGTTCACATAGTAGCTAATCTTTTGGTTTTGTATTCAGAGCGTAGCACAAATTGATTATTGATGACAATTTGGCTTAGTAGCCTTTCCTGATAAATAAATGCTCATATACAGATGACCGGCTTTAAGTAAATGTTGGATATTTTTTATACATAAATATAATAGGAGCCTTCTGTACCTTTAAGCTAAGAATTTTGTCCTCATTTAGATTACCAAACACAGGGTATCTAAAAAGCAAGCACGCTCTACTGAATAAGTTTTACTTTTATTACTTTTGTTGTTTTCTTGATTTAGATAAAAATGTCTGTTAGAAACAGCGATTATGATTAGAGTTCCGTAGAACGGGTAATCTAAGAACAAAACACTCTAAACTAAATAAGTTGTACTTATATTACTTTAATTTTTTTGAATAAGTTAAAATGGTTTGTTAGAAACAACGATTAATTACTTGTCTGTACCTATGCACCAAGTATTTTATTCTGATTAAGAGTTCCCTGGAACAGGCTAATTATGAACATAGCAATCACAACTAAATGGGTTTAACTTTAGTTTCTTTTTATACCCTGAGCCCATTAAAAATGGGTACAAGGGTATATTGTATTTGTGCAAAATCCAAATGTATGTAACAGGCAGAAGGAAGCATCTCCGACCATATAAAGTATATATATTCTTGATCAGCATCAATAGCCAAGTCTATCTAGCCATGTCCGTCTGTCTGTCCGTCCGTCCGTATGTATGAACGCAAGGATCTCAGAACCTATAAGAGCTAGAGACTTGAAATTTTAGATGTAGATGCTCCTAGTTCCCGCGCAGATCGAGTTTGTTTCCGATAATCGATAACTTACTCCGTTTCCAAGCAATCGATAAAAATCGATATCGATATCCTGTTTTTTGGGCAATTTTGGTAAATAATAAGAGCTAGAGTCACCAAACTTGAAATATAGCTTCTAAAATAGAATATATATATATACATTTGATGTTGGAAGAAGAGGGATTAGGGTATCCCCTAGTCGGGAGCTCCCGACTAGAACCTCTTACTTGTTTCTTGATTCAGATAAGTATGTTCGCTAGAAACACCGATTAATTTTAATGTCAAGCCCAATTTCTTTATAAACAGTCAATTGCTTGAGCCGCAAAAACAAAGATTGTTTAACATATCAATAATAAGAAAATAATTACTTGGTACAACTTAGAAGTATTTTTAGAAAAAGCAAAAGGTCATTAATGCATTTTTTTTCCAAAATATTTTTTGGAACTTAACAGAATTTGGGCATTTGAAATCTATCAGAAAATATAAGATCTATAATATTTAGAAACATGAGGTCTTTTGAATAATTTATGACAATTGGTTAAAGTTACGAATCTGTAAGTAAAAATTAGAAAACTGAAAAAAAGATGAGCCTTATGTATGTTGATATAGCTCTAATGTATCAATAAAGAGAACATCTTAAAAACTATACTGCCGTGATACTACATCCCGATGAATATCAATTCGGCCATAAGACTTATGATTCACTGATTCATGTGCAAATTGACGACAAAAGGTCTTGGAGCACCTGGTTTATCGAAATGTAATCAATCAAATCCCCAGTTAAGCGATACATAGATAAAGATACAACTATAAAAGGGCACCAGTGCGAGCCAACATTCACAGAGTTCCATTAACAACCAAGCAAAATGATAGCAAAAGTTTTCCTATTGGGCCTACTAGTTGCCGCCAGTTGTGCCTCACCCTTGACGAGCACGGTTAACTATGCTGACGCCGTTAAAACGTACCTTGAGGCCTTCCAGAAGATGGCGCCCTGTGGCTATGCTGCGGAAAATATACCTGTCTTGGAGCCGCTGATCGACGCATTCACCGCCTTCAACTACACCAGAGGAGAGACGAGCATCGTTGGCAATGCGAGCAACATTCGCATCTCGGGCCTTAGCAATATTGTGATCCTGAAAGGTGAATACGATCCCAACACTTTGCGCGCCTCATTCGACATTTTGTTCCAGGAGATTCAAATTTTGGGCTCCACCATAATGGAGGGCGTTTTTAACATGCTTGGCTTCACGTTCCCCATGCGCCAAAACACTTTGCTCAACGAACGACTGCAGCAACTGCGTATTGTGGGTGAATACACATTTGCCCAGAGCCTGTCCAATTCCAATGGACTGCGCATGATCGACCTAAAGCTGCAGTTTTACGTGGCCGATGTGAAGATCGACAACTGGGACACACTGCTGAATATATCGACCAACAACTATTTGGAAAGCATCACCCGCGAGACACTTTTGGCCTTAGTTAAAGAGATCCAGCCCAGAGTAAATCAACTGATCGCCAAGTATGTGCTGCCCGATGTCAATGATTTGCTCTCCGCAGTCAACCTGACTCAGCTGACCAACTACTTTGTCAACACCGCCAACAATTGGAACAGTGCCAACTGCAATGTTATGGCCTAAAAAATATTGTTCGATCGTTTAGAACGAAATAAATATATACATATATGAAGAGCTGAGCATACATCACAAGTGTTTGAACAAATTTATGAAAAACTATCGACCTGTCTAAACACAACCGCACTGGTCCTCGAATATTGGACAAAACAGATGAAATGGTTGTTCGACGTTTTTTTTTAGTCATTTTCCTTGCTGCTGTTGCTGTTGCTGTAATCCGCTTAAGTAACTCAGGAACAACGGAAACCGGAAATGAAAACCATACAGTGTGTAAAGCACGTGGTGAATCTGGGGGCAAAGACGGCATCGGTCCGGTTGGCCAGGCGAACAACTTCCGGTCTGTGTAGCTGGCGGTGCTGCTCTCCTTTTTGTCAGACTCTAGCCATTGCAGGCAGATGCTCGTCCACGTAGCCGCCGCTTCCTCGTGCTGGCACTTGGCATTGGTGGATGGCAACGAGAAGGAATCAAGGCTCTTAAGCTGTACCGGAAATGAAGAATTGTTGCTCGAGTCCCTGTGACAATTTCAGTGGTCGCTAGCTGACAAAGCCCACAAGACATGGCCATGAATCAACCAAAATGTTACATGCCCTCCTAAGGCTTATTGTTGTTGCTGCAGCAGCCAGTTTTAAGTGGTCATAATAGCGCGGTCTAAACAAACAGCAAACAGCAAATGGCTTTTTCATATTGCGGTTTTCCGTCCTTTGGTTTATATATAACGCACCAGAGATGACGGGTTCATCATCAGGCAGCCAGTTCCGTCTCCGTCTGTCTGCTTCCGCTGCAGAGTCTTAACCACAAGGCCGCTTTCAGGTCCATTGTGCATTAATAAATTATTAGGTAATGTGAAGTGCATAAATTATAAAACCTTCTCTCTTTCCTTATTCGAAGCCAGAAACTGCCTTGTGGGTTCCGTTCATTTTTGGCGCAATTTACATTCGATTTTAATGGGTCAATTTGAGAGGTAAGTCTAAGAGACTTCATTTAACATTTTATGGCCTTACATTTACATTTACGGGGCTTAATATATTTTTTAAAGCATTTAAATTGATTTGGTTTATAAATTTAAATAAAAGTTTAGCCAGTTTAATTCCTTTTCAATGTGCACTTACCATTGTATTATTTACTTTGTTACACGCATAAAAACTGCATTTTGTATTTATTTATTTAATCGGCTTGCATTTCGTTCATTTTGTTCACAATTAGCAATATTTTGTGTATATTATGTGATTACTTCATGTTCATTTAATTCATTTGCTTCCATGGTTAAGCCCACATTTTTCTCGCAATAATATTTGTTGTAGCTATATACATTCACGTATAACTACTATTTGTGCAAAAACCAAAAGGCAAATTGTTATTCAATTTGCAACGTCAGAAGTACATCATAAATATTTCATAATTCACTAATTATTCTAAAAGGGTGCAACAACGCTGACAGTAGTTTAAATAAAATGCATTTTGTAATATATATAGATTTGTGTTGCCCAAACTATTTCAAATATGTTGAATCTACGTTGGACTTTGTCTGTTTGCATGCGCAATTTGGTTATACAATTTACACAAATTAAACTCAAAAGTCTGATAAACTAATGTAGAAATAAAACGTTAAATAGATACAATATTAATATAATGAATAATTAATGACGACCTATTGATGACAATTTCACATGGCATAATACATATATCCAATTATATTTTCACACTTGTCTCTGGCTAAAGCTTTTCGGTATGGCATTTAGGACACAATTCTAATGTATCTTTCTGCATTAACTTTGCCTAACTGTAGCTAACAATTAGTTTAGTTTATTTAATTATTATCGTTAGTTATAACATTTACAAACACAACATTCAATGTCACGTTTCTGTTAATGGGCTTATAAGGTATTCGACGAAATTCACATACAATTGCATATCATATGCCGCATGCTATATAAAGATACAGATAGATGTACACATCATAGATTTTTAATTCATTCTATATAGACTTTAATATTTATCGTTCATATTACGCGTGGGTTAGTTTAGCCATATAATCAACCAATTTTCGATTCCGTTTACTAATGACAATTTACATAGAGTATGTAAATGTATATTTATGTAAATATGTATGTATATATTTATGAATGTTTGCAAATAGCGTTATTTCTTGTTAGTTCTTTAGCATTAATGGTAACGTGGGGGCTTCTGTGTGGGCTAGGTAACAGCTCATAATACTCTTCACTTATCTAATAGCTAATATTTGTATGCATATATATAATGTATGTACTTATACATTAAACATAAACATTTATCAAATTGAATGCATTTTGGTACCAGACAAACATGTACTTCATAAATACAATAAATGTTCTTATTTTGTGCATCTACAAACAGGTCCTTTACTTTTTACTTTTTGTCTGTTTTCGTTTTGTATACATACACTTCTATGTTGTCATATAAAATGTATTATAAAAATGTTTAAAAATAATTTTGACAAATTCTTGATAAGCTGATTTAGTGGGACATTCATTTGAATACATTAAACTTTATTTAATTGTTTTAGACATACATACATAAATGCTTTATATTTGCGCTAAATATGTTGGTACATACTCGTATTCATATTTAAAACGATTTCATGTACATTTACTAAGGCTAATTGTATATGTTAATAATATATAATTTATTTTGTTGTTCACATTGATAGACTTATCTAATTAATTATTTGAATTGTTCTATATTGTATCCATTTTACCAGTTTGTAATGCACATTTATGTTAAAATTTCATTATGCTTGAACTGTTAAGTTTTCTTTTGTTTTTGTTTTGTGATAAAAAACATTCTAACAAACTTATGCTATGTATATAATAAGTGTTAATGTATATCTTACAGATACAAATATACGCGTTATAAAAATGCAATTTAAAATATATTTTCAATTGGTTTTCAATATTTTTTTACAACATTTTTCTGCTGCTTTTGGGGCAGTGAAAACAAATTCGTGATCATTTCACAATCGCGCATATTATTTAAAAGCCTTAATTGAAATAAGGTTAGAAAACAGATGTTATCAATCTTACAGGTATATTATTAATATTAAAACCTAGGACAATGCATTTACATATTTCCTCATTACTAAGCGCCAAAAATAAAAGGAACTTATTTTTTGATATATGATATATGAAATGATGTCAAAAATATATTGTTTTTTTTTCGCAATTCCAGTTTATTTAAATTTTATTACTGCGCCTCTGATAGATAGCTAACAGCTATATTATAATTATTTAATATGTTTTATATACCTATACATAAATTTTCTAGTTAAAAATTGCTTTTCGTATTCGAGTTAATTTTCGTTTCCTCAATTTCGATTCACAAAGCCAATTTCTTACACATTGACGCGTATTCGAGTACATTATCAAACGTGATATCATATGGGGGAATAATGTCGCAGCTCATCGCAGCTTCTCCCTCCATTGAACAGCGTAAATAAAAAATCGCGTGCTGGAATGTTGAACAATTAAAAATAATCGGCTTGCCGAGCAATATGCACACTTTCCAAATAACTAACAGATATACACACAGTTGAGTGTTTTATGATAAGATTTCCAGTTATCTAATATTGCGATTTACCTTATAGCTCTCTCTTATCTATTGTTCGGTGCACTTCAATACATACAAATTATATTGTAATGCGGAACTGATATAATATGGCATTAAAGCAAGAATAATCTATTTGTTACTAGTAAACAAAATATATACGCACCGTCTAAATATTGTTTACAATATATATCCTTGGAGAGCAGTGTCTCAAGTTTTATTGAGGTTCAGTCTCAGTTTAACGAAATATTTAGATTACAGATTTGTAAGTGTAACTTAATTGTTAAGAAATCAATTACATATTTGCGTTAATGAATGCATATCTGAATTATTTGGAAAGCTTTGAACACTATACATTGCTTGCAATTGGGTTTTTGTTGTTGGTTATAACAAATAATTGTTTATATTTTATTGTTAAATTACAAAAAAGTATTTAGATTAATGTATATGTGTACGTATATTTATTCTGTTTTTTAAATAAAATGTTCTTGTGCTTGGAAACTAAGTTCAAAATAATTCTCATTTAAAGCTTTTAAACGTTGCGACACCCGTTTAAACGGAACAACAACAAACAGAGCGAAACAAACTAAATAAATGTCTGCTTACTGTCATAAATGGTATGGCTCTTAACAAGGAATTGTGCGTGCTTTTGGGTATTGTTAAACAACAATGGCTAAAACAATTACAGTAATAAATTGCTTATGTTTTGTGCATAATTTCAACTTCTGGCTTTTTTGTTGGTCGGTGTATTTGAGGGTTCTTTGTATGTGTATGTGTAGGTATGTGTGTGTGTGTGTGTATTTGTTAAACAATTTCACATTTTCAAAAATTCGTACACTTTCAGCTTAAATACTATAGATACTAGAACGTATGGCCTACACATATCAATAGCAATATAAAACTATGTACCGTGGCTATGTATTCAAAGTTTACAATCAGGGCTGCGCATAAACATCGTATGATACAAATGCCATATTTTTGGATATATATATATATGTATATATACGTAGAGTTGGACAATAAATATTGCGCGTACGCATGTCTATGGGCTGATCGAAAACTGCAGCTGCTCGATGCAACACCACAAACAACTCACGGACATTGACAGACGTTGACTTTCAGCGTCTAGGCCTCTGTTTCGGCACCCTTTAAGCGAAGCCGCGCGAAATCCTCAAAGATGATATCATCGTCTTGAGCCTCATCGTCGTCCAGCTGTATGAGGTTCGTGGTGGTGGGCACATCGTTTGGCGTTTGTGTTGAGGAAGCCGCGGCGCCTGCATCGACTGCATCGCCCAGGCTAAGCAGCGGCGCTGCCAAGCTGGCGCGCGGGGAGCGATCGCCCAGCACCGGTTGCTCCTCTTCCTCTGGCTTGGGGTGCATCAGCGTAAATGGCAGCTCGGCAACCAAATCTCCGCCCAACAGCGGCGAGCCAATTAGTAGCTTCACCTTGACCTTGTAATGCACCAATATGCCCAAGCTTTCGCGCTGTGCAGGATTGGTAATAAGCGTGCTTGACGCCAGATTTGTATCCTCATGCTTTAGCTGACCATCCAGCGCCAGTCCCCATTTGTCCTTGTTGTTCGCTAGCAGGGGGCATAACTCAAACACCTTGGAGAGCGTAAAGCCTGGTGCCACATTGCAGCCATCCTCCGACTCAATCTCGGCCACCACAGATTTGTATTGGGCCGTCGAGAAGAGGCATATGTCGGCAAATTGGCGTACACACACCTTTATCTTTTTGACCGTGCGATTGGAATTGTTGGCCACATGCACATTGACTGATATCTTCTCGCCATGATGATACAGCTCCTTATCCAGACTTGCCTCCAAGTGTATTTTATTGGGCTTCATCATGAACTCCTTGCTCACCTCAATGGAGGGCTGCTCTCCGGCCTTCGATGGTGCATACATCACCTTCCGAATCGTCAAACGCACCGAATTGCGTTTGTGGGGCTTATCCTCAATGTGTTCGCCTATCGTTAGATAAATATACAAGCAGCATTAGCTTTGGGCACAACTTATATTTATAACATATTAACATATTTAACACATACACATACAAATCAATATGCATAGTTAGGCATATTTGGCTTGGGGGTGTGTCGAGCTCCGTTCTGTGTGCGTCACAATTTCAAAACAGCTTAGCAACCAGGTGATTCACTGACTTAACTATAAGCATATGGGATGATTTCAGGTAATGTTTTAAAAATAAACGACTCATTGCCGATACACACCATTATCTTGGTACTAGGAATCTGCTTAAAATAATCATTTCTTTGCCTCAATTTTGAATGTGCGAAAAAAAAACAACAAAAATTAAAATACTTTCCATTTTGAGCTCATAAATCGTGCGCGTTGTTGGCATATGTCGGTGGGCCAGAGGCAGGAAGGCGGTGCAAAGTTTATTGTTTATACCAAAAACTGGCAGCTCGAACCGAGAGCAAAGCACATTAAATAAACAAATCAACAGATGCCAAGTTAATAAAAACAACTATTCTACTTATTCGAGAAGTGTAGATGCCCTTGCAACTGATCAAAAAACTATATTGTTATATGGAAACTGTAAACAGTTTGTGTGTCAAGTGCAAAAAGAACAGTTGCAAAATTGAATATTGTCGCAATTAACTGATAACAAATTTATATAATTGCAGTATCTGTTTCCACAAACATGTTATTAATAAAGTGAAGAAATTGGATCCAATATGTTGTTTGCTTATTAAAAACAATAAACAAATTCCGTTTTATTTTTCAGAGAACAACAAATACAATAGAAGCATTTGTCAAATACCAGACAGATCGAATTGCCTTTTCAAGGGCAGTCAATTATTTCCCCGACTGAGCTTAAACTGAGAATTATAAAAGAGAACTATTTAAATAACGCTTGGAAAATACATGTAGCCCTGTGCAACTATTTACATAAGTAATAAATTGGTAATAAGCAACAAACAGTGGTTTTCTTAGCCCGTGGAAAGCCGAATAATCTCAGCTAGTTTCTCCATTAAGACTGGGAGTACAATTCTTGTAGAAAATTCATTTCAAAAGGCGATCGTGCCAGTCATGGCTGCTGTTCTGGTAAACTTTGAAGCAAATTCCTTAATTGTTTATTCCTAATTTCAATCAATAGATTTTTATGTAAATGTACATATGTATGTACATATATTCTGTTAAGCGAATGTTAAAGTGTGGGGCGTGCCATAATTTCGCAGACATTGTGCAGCAGAGGGTGGCCCGCTCAGGCCCACCCAAAAGCCAATTGGCGTAAGTTTGCTTTCAATAATCTTTTTATGGTTGTACACAAATTGGCTGTGACAGCGGCGGGGGCAGCAGCAACGTGCTCGGCGGCAGCATTACTGCCAGATAAGAATGTCGACGCCGGGCAATAAAACCACCAAAAATTAACGGACAAAGCAAAGCGGGCACAATACACAAGCACACACACACACATGTTCATATGCATGTACATAGATAGCAATTCGTGCGCAATAAAATCAACAACAAAACAAAGGCAAGAGTCGCTAAAGCGAGAGAGCCTCAGTTTGGAGCAGAGCAACGCAGCGCAGAGAACAGATCCCAAGTGAGAAATGCGAATGCGCGTGCGAATCGCAAACATGCGCGCGTAACTCCCAATAAATCGCTGCTAAATACGCTGTTCAAGCATTTTTTTTTTGTTTTTTGTTAGTGTTGTCAATTTCATTATTGCTAAATGAGAATGCGAGGCGCAAGAGGAAACACGAGAACGGAGCAGGAGAGCGTGCAAGGGTAGAGCGGGATCGGTAATTACGCTTTTGGGTCATTGCTGCTGTAGTTTTTTTTTTTTTTTTTTTTTGTAGCTTACGTTAGCACTAACAAAGCAAATATACCCAGCTGCCTCGAGTTTCCAAGAAGCATTTATGTAAGTGCTGAACGTAAGAAAAAAAAAAAACATTGAACGTCAGCGGAAAGACGCCTAATTAAAGCTACTGCGACTGCGAGAGCAATAGAGCCGAATTCCAATTAGAGGCGTCGAATTCCAATTAGGTGGCCGCGCTGCGTCATCATTGAGCACTACACACAATGACATTTTGCGCAGTCGACGCAGTTGGATTAATTAACCCCGCGCGTGACACATGCGCCAACTAACACACATACATTGCTATATATTTGATTATACAAATATCTTCCATATATGTATGTATGTATTACAAATATAAAGGCGCTGCCCAACAATGATTCTGGCTTTCTCCTCACACACACACACACACAGAAATATATGACCCGGAAAACTTACCCACAAATGCCTTTAGTTCGTAGTCCACACCACAGGATTTGCCAACATCGCCCGGTGCTGGTTGCAAGGATACCGAAGCCGGACAATAGGGCGGCACTTCAAAATAAAATGGATGCGCATTGGGTCCCAGCTTCTTAATGAGCCGCTCCTGCAATCTGGTCATGGGCCGTTCCATTTGCATGGGCGGATAGATTTGTTCATGAGCCAAATACAAATCCTTGCGAAATGTTAGGCCCAGCACATCTAGATCTTCGCGTCCATATCGAAATGCAGCCAGCACTTGGCCAAACACTTTGCGATCCTTCACATACTCCGGATCAATGAAAACCACGCCATCAATTGGATCCACATGCGTGACATGATCTACAAAGTCGCGCTTGCCCAAATAGACTGTGATTTTGCCATTCGATGAGCTCTTTTTGAACACCCGCGTCGCCTGCCTGCGTGAGCTGGCATCGCCGCCAAGCTCATCAAGGTTGCCACCTCCTCCGCCACCGCCGTTGCCACCGCTGCCAGCACTGCCGGCTGTTGTGGCATTCGCCGTGGAGCCACCAGCACTACCATTGCCATTGCCATTGCCCGTCGATCCAGCACCGCTTCCGTTCGTGTTAGCGCTCAGTGTGTTCATTGTCGTCGTCGCCGTCACCGTCAACGTCGTTCTGGACGTTCTGCTGCTGCTGCTGTTACTGACTCTGTCTCTGCTGCTGTTGGTTCTGCTGTGTTGGTGTTTGTAAACGCTGCTGCTCACTGTGTGCCGCCACTGCTGCTGTTGTCTATTGGCTCGCACGCTCTCTTTATTGTTTTTAAGCACCTTTTAATAACAAATACGTGTGTAATTTAATTTTTTTTTATGTATACTTAATGAGCAACAGCGCCACACAACTTTTTTCTGTCGCCATCTAGTGTTTTCAGTGCTGCATAATGCGTAAATGAACTAGTTCGTTTGGTCACTAGACAACACCAGCACAGCGTTGCCATCTATGTATATGGGTATTTTTATGTTTGCTTAGCGCGGTCACACTCTGCCTCAATTCTTTTCCACGTGCACTTGCCCACACCGCAGCACGCGTTTTTCACAAATTGACGTTTATATTAAAAGGAACTCATAAAAATGGCACAAAAGAAGCTGGCTAACAAGAAATCCGCGGGCAACAACAAGCGCGGCCCCAAGGCTAAACAGGTTGAAGAGGAGAAGCCTGAAATGGAGGTAGACGCCAGCGATGACGACTCTGACGCCGATGAGGAGCAGAATGGCGTCAACTTTGAGGATGGCAGCCATTCTGAGGTGTGTAAAAATCAAATGTTAAATATGTATGCAGTTATATAAAATCCACCGGCTATTCTTTTAACATAGGCGGAAGGTGCATCAGGCTTGGTAGACTCAGAGGGTGAGGAAGCAGAAGATGATGATGATGAGGAGGAAGACGAAGATGAGGATGAGGACGCAGTCGAACCTGGCGAGATATCAAAGAGCGCAAAATCCGCCGGGGAATCTGATGATGATGACGATGAGGAAGCCGATTCCGACGAGGAGCCCGATGAAGCGCCAATTGGCAAGAAGAGCAAACAAGCAGAGACACCCCAAAAGGGCGGCATACCAAAAGTTATCGTGGGCCGCATCCCACCCGAAACACCCAAGGATCAGATATTGTTCGTTAGCAATCTCCCACAAGGTAGGTACAATAATGCCGAGAAGATTTTTAACCTCAGTTTGTATACTCATTTATATATAAACATATTTGAATGCGTGGTTTATGTTTTGCAGTATACAAACACATTGAAATGGTTGCCTTGTTTGCAAAATTTGGACCAATTGCTGTAATCAATCGCATTAAGTCAAAGGCTGGCGGCAACAACCTTGTCATTGCCTTTGAGTCTGCCGAAGCCGTTGATGCCGCACTTGCTGCCAAGGAGAAGGCATTGACGATCAATGGCCAGGTCGTAAACGTGTCTCGTCCAATAAACAAGGGTGACTTCCCCGAGCGTACTGTTGTTGTGGGCCTGATTGGACCCAATGCCACCAAGGAACAAATTACTGAACATTTTAAGGGCTGTGGTGATATTGAGGCTATTAACTTTTCTAACAATCGTATCTTGCCCACCGCATATGTGCGTTTCGTTTCGGTGAGCTCGGTGCCCAAGGCCCTTAAATTGCACGACAGTGAGTTCCAGTCGCGCTTCATCACAGTTCGTGAGGACTCGTACAAGAACAAAGAGTTGAAATCGCCAGAATGCACACTGACAATCGCTAACACAGGCAATCATGAACACTTCAAATCAGAAACTATTGAGAAGATCTTTAAGAAGCACGGCGAGATTATAGACCTTGATGTAGTTTGCACGAAGACCATTTTGGGCTTTGTTACCTACAAAACTGCCGAGCAGTCCGAAAAGGCGCTTAAGCAGTTAAATGGCAAGACTGTTGGCGATCTGGAGATTAAATTGGAAAAGTATCGTTACAGCTCCTGCGGGCGCACTATTCGGGTAACAAACTTAGCTCCAGGTGCGTTTATTATAATCATTTTTATCAATGTAACATTTACTAATTTGTTAAATTCTTTTGTTTAGGCGTCGAAGAGGAGGATCTTAATGAGCTGTTCAAGAAAGTGGGCGAAATTGAGAGCATCCTAAAGATGCCCTACAGGGCAGTCATCAAATTCGCCACTGACGATGGCTTCTGCAAATCCTTCCTGTTCAACGAACGGATGATTAAGGGTCAACCCATCTTCTTGGAGCCAAACTCTGCACTAAAACATAAATTGACCCAGAAGAAACAGGCAAACAAACCACAGCAATTCTTTGGAAAGCGTGCTGCTCCTGCTGCATCAAATGCACCTCCGGCCAAGTTTAAGAAATTCAACAACAGCAATAACAAAAACAACAGCAATCAGACGAACAAGCCCTTTAAGAAACGCCCAGAACAGGGCAACGGTTTCACGCCGAAACCATTCAAGAAGGCCAACAAGGTCTAATCTTTTTGTTTTGCCGCCTAATATCCTAGTCTTAAGTTAAAAAAAAAAAAGAAGTACCCACATCCCAATGCAACAACAGACAGTGCATTGATATAAGTTTTATAAGCTGGCAATATGTGTCTGCGCCTATTCAAAAATTGTATTTGAATATTTTACAATATGCTAATAAAGCTGAGTATCACTAATTGTTAACATTTGTCGGCAAACGCGCTTTTGCTCAACAATTTCGCTGCCTTTATGGGCAGCCGCTCAGCCCAAATAAAAACTTGTAAGGCCCAACGAGAATAAATTGCAAATTTCCAACACGTACCAGTCAAAAACAGAAGAAAAGAAAAACTGAATGTGAATTTGTGCTTTGAGTGTTTGTGTTTAGCCACTTTGAGTGCCTGCTGCCGGCTTCCATTGGCACATGATTCATTATACTTTGTGCACGCTGTCGTCGCGAGCGAGTGATTCATGCTGGCCCAGGCCAACCGATTTCACACGCAAACACACTTCATTTCTCTTACTCCAGTACGCATAGCGGCGCTCCCATTGCACCGACGTCGTCATCGTCCTCGCATCTCAGCTCATGTTGGGCCCATCCTCCAGTGCGCACAATGCAAATGAACAATGGCGTCGGGTCAACCGCCGGGGGCGCGCCTGGGTCACCAGCCATAACGAGCGCCATTTGAGGCACCGCTCCTTCCAGCTGTGACAATGATAGCACAAATGCGCTCCCAACTGTATGGGCTAATTGCAGGAACGTACTTGACTAATTGCAATTAGTAATTACCAGCTGCTAAATTTGTGTAAAACCACTTGCGAGTGAATAATTAATCAAGGAAGTAATTATAAATTATCATTTTAACGCCTCGACAAATGATAATTATTAACGGTTGGTTAAATCGATATCTAAGGAATGTAGCAGCAGTATAGATCTATTGTTAAAGACACTTGATTTAACTTGTCATTAAAGTTGCAATTTATATTTTAAAAATGTTAAAATGTTTGATCGCCATGATTCTACAAGTAATTCCTATTATAATGAACTAGTTATGAAAGTCGGTTTAAGCATTCTATTTGAAGTAAACCAAGTTCTTGATTCTACAGGTCAATCCTATTATAATAAATTCCTTACTATAAGGAAACATTATTATAAACAAAAACATTATTTTTATAAATTAAAGCCCTTTCATTAAGCCGGCCAGCTGTCCATCTATGCTACTTGATAAATTTTAGTACTTATGGCAGGGATCATAGATTGTACTCATATATAATAGAAATGTTCCAAAAAATCTTCTTAACGCTTTTAATATATTTAGAGCTGGAAATAATTTAGAAATTACAAATGAATTGTTTTCAACTTAACGAAAATCCAAAGTTCAATATTTTCGACAACTTTGAAAATAAGAGTATATTTCATTTACATAGAAATGCTTAATACAGCAGAGTACAAAAATATTCGTACTAAGATTTACCTTTAAAGCGTTAAGAGGTAAATGATAAATGGCGACTGTCAACTGTTTTTCCATAATTTGAAGGTAATTCAGAAACGCATTTGGACCAATTACGATCAATCTTCAGTGATGCAGATGTACGTAAACCTGGATATTTTATACATACCTGGGAGCCTTGACAAATCCTTAAGTAAAGCCATTGAATTAACACAAGGAAAATATAATATTGCAGTCTGGCGTTGATTTTGTATATTTAACATTTATTGGTAATAAATTTGTTTGCAAATATCTGTTCATTTCAATTGGTTTATCCATTTCACAATATGTACTTGTTGACTTGATATTTGATGTATGTATTTATTGGTATATGATGTATATATATGTAAATGCATGCATTTGTTATCTTGTATATTTTCTTCTTTAATTATTTTTTTTGGTAATATGTATGTTTATTGATAATATTAGTTTTGTTTGGTTTTGTTTTTCAACTTGTTATCATATATATTTAATATTTATCTGGATAAATAACTAAACTACGCATATAAATAGTACGCATGTTTGTTTTCCTGCAAATCATTTTATATAAATGTGTGTAAAATATAGTTGTTAGTTAAATGCGCTCTATGGCCAATATAATGCAATGCAGGAAGAAGAACCAACAAATGGAGCCAGCCAGAGCCAGAGCCAGACCCTGTCCCAACCCTCTACAGCAGCTGTTGGTCAATGAATCACTTGGATCAGTCTCTCTCTCTACGGAGCTTGACGCGGTCTGTGCCAAGTCAAGCCCAACAAATTACGGCCGTGTGTGATGTGGGGCGTGGGGCGGGGGGGGGGGGGGGGGGGGGGGTTGTCAAAATAGAGGGCGGGCGAGCGGGCGGGCGGTCGGTCGGGCAACTCTATTAGTCATATTTAGCAATAAATATAATTATAATTTAGCTTATGCTTTAGCAATTTACTTATAATAAGGCAAACGAAAGTGAAGGGCACTGGGGCGGGATTATGCAAACCATAACGCAAATTGAATAACTAACTAAATACGTTTATTATGTATTTAAGCAGGTATATTATATATATATATATACCGTAATCGTAGCACATATGTGCCACTGCACGTTAGGCATGTATATTTGATTTATTGTATATAGGCAAACTTTCAAATCTAGCAACTTAACAACTACAAAATGGGCCCATTTCTGGTCTGAGTTTTAAACTTTTACAAAAAAGCAGGCAAAATTGGTTTCTCAATAAATTCGAATCGTTGACGCTTTGGTAACTCTCTCTCCAACTCACAAAATGCAATCAATTCAATGGGATTTCAAGCACTTCTTTGCAAATAAATACAAATTATAAGACTTCAAAATAAAACAAAATAAAAAGATTTGTATAAATGTTGTCGTTTTTTTTTTTTTGAGATTTTTTTAGTTGTTTTCTTTTTTTGTTGTTTTTAATATGTAATATCGTTTTAAACATAAAAGTATAGAGTGTGCAAAAGTTACATTAAATGTTCTGCTTGTGCTTGTTGTTCTCGCTGCATAATTTACAAATTAAAAATTAATAATACAATACAAATCAAATTGTGTGCGGAAAATGTGTTCAAAATAACCAAAAACAAAATGAAATGAATATTTCTTAGTTACTTTTTTTGACAAAACACTGGGCTAAAGTTCTGCGTACACCACACTACAAATTTGCGTTTCGTATAAGTGTTAAGATTTCATTTTTTTTTTTTCCTTTTAAGTAAATTTGAGGAACGTTTATATGTATGCTGCGTATACGTGTGTTGCGTGTGTGTGTGTGTGTGTGTTTGGGAGTGCACTCAAAGGAAGCACCCAAATGTTGACAGTAAAAAACACATAAATTCTATAATATTCAATGCTTTTTTTATAGCGCACCGTGGTTCGTAATCAAACATTTTGCCGAACAAATTTTTGTCAGCTGCGCGCAAATTTTTCATAATTTTTGTTGTTTTTTTTTTTCATTCTTTATGGATTAGTTCTGATATATCAAATATTACGTGTTAGAATTCCAACTACGAGCTACATTTATAACTTCTCTTTTTTTTTTTTGCTGCTATACGTTCACCACATTTTCTTGAATAAGTTTTATAATATATGTTGTTTTTTTTTTTGTTCGTTATTTTCGGTTTTTGTTTTTGAATATTTTTGTGTGGTTTCTTATGAAAACACTTTTAGTTTTTTGTGTGTTTTTTTTCTGGTTTCGTTTCGTTTTTTGCGCTCCAAAGATTCTCGTTCTTGTTTTCAACTTAGAAATAGACACATTAAAAATTTCGTTTAATACATGAGAGCAAAAATAACAGAGCGTGAGGAACAATTATAATATTTAAAATTAAAAAAAATGAACTAAAAGTATGTAAATGAGGAAAAGAAGCGAGCACACAAATGGAAAATCCTTTACAAAATATAGCACAAAACTCGAATCGACTTTGGGCTTGGAAAGATCGTAATTGTGCTGTTCGAATGGTGGCGTTAGTATTTGGAAAGGAAGGCATACATGTAAAAAAGTGGACGCTCCACTGAGCCACAACTTGGAATTGGGAGGAGCGGAGGAGGAGTGGAGGAAGAGGAGCAGGTGAAGTAAAGAGGTCGCAAATTTCGCAGTTCGCTTTTCATGCGCAAAATACTTTTTCATAATATGTTTATAATATTAGTAAAGTAGTTTTTTATTTTTCTCCATATATGATCATCAACTCATCTTCGGCTGCAGCTTGGAGTCCGCCTAGAAATCTAGCAGTGCCACCTCCGGATTTTGCTGCTGTGGCTCCACATTGGGCAGCGCCTCTTGCGCCGCCTCCAGAGCATCGTGCAAGCCATTTCCATTCTGTTCCAGTTCGTTTATGCCATTGGCAGCATGAGTTGTTGGCTCAATCTCGACTGCTGGCGGTGCTCCTTCTGGTGCTCCTGGTGCTGCTTCTGGTGCTGCTGCAGCGGCTGCTGCCTTGGCCGGTGTGGTGCCTGTTGTTGTGGGTCGCTTGATTTTCATGCCAGCGGCTGGTGACGTCTTAGCGGTTTCTTTGGCTTTCGGTTTCAACGGCGAGCTGCTGGAAGCATTCTTCAGCGGCGACGACTTGCGCTGGGCGACGGCAGCACCGCTGCCCGCGGACAGCTGGGTGCGGCGCGTGCTGCTGGTGCTGCTGCCAACTGGCGCCGAGTGTGTAAACTTGGGCGCCGGACGCGCCGTGAAATTCTTTGTAATGGTCGTAGTTGTTGTTGTTGAAGTTGTCGTGTTGCTGCCGGAGCTGCCGTTGGCCGCGGCCGATCTGATGCGAGTGCTGCTGGTACTGCTGCTGGTAGTTGTGCTGGGCTTGGGCGCGCCATTGGCCAGCGGTTTAGTGGGACTGCGCGTTCCCGACAAAGTGCCAGTGGCTGGCGCCGTTTTGCGCAGCGTCGAGGACAAGGTGCTGCGCGGCGAAAGCGTCTTCGGCTTGGCAGCCAGTGTGGTGGAGCCAGTGCTGCTGCTGGTGGTAGCCGACTTACTGGCCGTCACCTGCAGCCGCGACTTGGTGGCTGTGGCCGTGGCTGTGGTGCCATTGCTGCTCGTGCCGGTTGCTGACTTGCGAACTGTGCTTGCGGTGCTGGTGGTGCTCCGTGCAGCGGCTGTTGTTGCCGGCTTGGCAGCGGTCTTGCTCAGGCTGCTGGCGGTCTTGCTGACCGGTGCTGTGCCCGGGCGTGCGCCGGCCAGCGTGCTGCTGGTGGAACGCGGTGCCGGCTTGCCAGCTGCATTGCTGGCCGTCAGCGGCTTGCGTGCGGTTGCGCTGCCCGTCTTGGCTGCAGTTGTTGTGGTTGTAGTTGTTGCTGTTGTTGTGGAAGAGCCTGTTTTGGCTGCGCCAGCAGCCGGAGCGGTGCGTGGGCGTGTTGCGGCCGGCTTGGACGCAGCAGATGCTGTGGCGCCCACTGTGCTCTTCTTGGTAATTGCGGCAGGCGACGGCTTCGCCTTGCCTGCTGCGCCGGTTGTAGTTGTAGTTGTTGCAGTCTTGCCGGCTGGCTTCTTGGCTGCATCAGTGGGGCTAGCCTTGATCTTGGGCTTGGCAGCAGGAGCAGCAGCAGCAGCTACAGCTGCAACAGTAGCGCCTGCTGCAGCTGCAACTGCTGCAGCAGCCACTGCAGCAACGGGTACATCAGCCACTGGTGCCACCTCGGCTGGCTCCTCAGCAGCAGCTGGCTCGCTGGGCTCACTGAGCAACACGGCAGGTGTCTCCTGCTGCACAGGCTCAGCAATCTGTTCCACAGCTGGCTCCGGTACGACCGGCTGATCCACAAGCGGCTCAATGTCGGCCACAGGCTTTGACGCTTCCTCATTGTGTGCTTCGGGTGTTGGCTCTGGTGTCTCAATGATGGCCAGGCCATTTGTGTAGGGTGCGGGCTCTGTGTTGAGAGGATGCGAATATGACACCTCCTCGATGAGTTCATCCTGCAGTTTCAGTTCGTCGTAGTTTGCTTGTGTTTCTTGTTTAAAAGCTGGTTCCTCCGCCACCTGTTGCAGCTCCTCCTGGAAGAGACGCTGCTGCGGTTGGGGTATAAAGTCTTCCTGCTGGCGCTGGTCCTCCTGGAAGAGCTGCTGATGCTCTTCCTGGAAGTGTTGCTGCTGTTCGTCATGCTGCTGCTCTCTCTGGATGTACTGCTGCTGTTCCTCCTGGAGATGCAGCTGCTGTTCCTCCTGGAAATGCGGCTGCGGCTCCTCCTGGAAATGCAGCTGCTGTTCCTGCTGCTGCTCCTCCTGGAAATGCGGCTGCTGTTCTTCCTGGAAAAGCGGCTGCTGCTGCTCCTCTTGAATGTGTTTCAGCTGCTGCTGCTCCTCCTGTAACTGCTGCTCCTTCTCCTCCGGGAAATTTGGTTCCTGCTCCTGGAAGAACTGTTGCGGCTCCTCCTGGAAGTTATGCTCCTGCTGTTGCAGCATGAACTGGTTGTCCAGCTCGTTTGAAAATTGCGCTTCGGTCTTAGGCAGCTTCTCTTCCTCGAAATCAAATGGATTGCTGGCCTCAGCTGGCTCCTCCTTATTGTGGACTCCAAAGCCGGTAGCTGTTATGAAATCAGCATTCTCCACCTGCAACTTAAAGAAAAGAAAAAGAAGCTGTTGAATATGTTCTGTTTGTGGATAAACTACTCGATAATTAAATACGAATGAGCAAAGCTCTTAACGCAGCACTTGCGATGCATCACACACAATGAATTTGAAATGTTAATACCCCCAGCAGATGATGACGATGATGATGATGACGATGATAATGATGACGATGACTAACAACAATCTGCCAAAAAACAAAAGGCACTAAACAATAACAACAACAACAATAGCAGCATTTGGATTCTGTCTGGCTGTCGTCTTCTTCACGCACAGATAATGTCGACATCGTCATCTCCCCTTCCCTGACCCACCCCCCTCCCCAACCTAAATGCGTCTTGTGCGCCCCGCTGTTGCCTGTCAAATCGATAAATGCAATGAGCCGGCACATGGAGCTAAAGTCCCTGGAAATGTCTTCATTTTTCGGGATTTGCGTTGGAAAAATATGGTAAAGATTTTAGCTTCTTTTTTCTTCCTTCTTTTTCGATTTTGTGTGTTTTGCAATTGTGCGTCAAGAAAATGTTACTTATGGTGTTATATATGTTATAGCCTGTTCCCCCAGCCTGTCAGTCTGTCGCCTCTCCAAGTGAGCCCTGAGTGCACTGCAAGCTATAAAAATAGCAGCGCCCACAAAGTACAAACTGAATTATATATATATATATATATATATATATATAAGCAAGTGCAAGTATTTATGGTTGTGGCGATGCCAGTGAAAATAAATCACCCAGCCGATGAATTTCCAGCTAAATAAATGAAAGATTCTTTCTGCCCCAATATCAGATGAGTAAGAAAACAAGATAAATAAACACAATTCATGCAAGTTCGTTCCAACCCGATTTAACAAAGTGTTTCGGGAATTTTTATTGCTTTCGGACAAAATTAATTCAACAATACATATAACAACCATTTTTTGTATTATAGAAAACCAGAATTTGTAGAAACTAAAGCGCTCTAATTAGCGAGCGTCTGCTGCATAAAACCAATTAAAGATATATATTTAAAAACCTCAATAAACCAGATTTAATATATTCAGGGTCACATTTATTTTATCGTACCATAGCATACACAAATATATATAAAATAATTGACATCATTCCCTTAAGTGTATGATTTCTGAATAAATTGTGGGCGGCCCCGAGAAGCATGCTATAAAAGTGTAAAGTATTGGAAATGCTGTTGCAGGGGGCAAAGAGCGAGAGAGAGAGAGGGAAAGAGAGGGCGTGCACTGTGCAGAGCAACAACCCTCAAATGAAGCACGCGCTTACAGCAGACAGCACACAGCAGATTCTGCTGCATATCAGCTGTATGTGCGTATTTGCGAGGGTTGTGCAAACACACACACACATGCACACACACGCACAACAACTCAAATTACTAATGCATACAAATTATGATAATGACATCAGCCGCGCGCTGAGGCGAACTTGTGAAAGTGAGAAAGCAGCTAGCATAGCGGCTGGCAATGTCATGACAATTGCTGCCATTGGGCAGCAACCGCCGCAACAACAACAACAACAACATCAACAACTACAACAACAACAACAATAACGAAGAGAAGCGACAGCAAACAGCGATGACATAGCGCGACACAGACACACACACACACACACACACAAACAGACGCACAGAAAGCAAAAAGTCAGATGACAGGAAGCGTGTACTGTGACACGGCGTTAGTTTTGGCGGCGCTGTCCAACAGGGTACAAATGTAGCGTTAACACTTTTTCCGGCACTTTTCTTCTAGCACGCAACGCAACACCGCAGCAGCAATCGCAATCGCCGTCGCAGTCGCGGTCGCCATCGCAGTCGCCGTCGCAGTCAACGTCGCAGTTGTAGACGCTTTAAAATGTCATTGACCAGCAAATGCCACCAGCCGGGGCCGCAGTTGCCCGTTGCCGGTGTTTTGTCGGTCTTGCTGCCCACTTTTGGCCCACTCGCGCAATTGCTGGCTTTCTTTTGTTGCTCAAGCGTAATGGGGCTAAAAGTGAGCTGAAGCCGAAAAAGTTAAAATCAAAATGAAAATGAAGTAAAAGAGAAGAAAAAGCATGAACCGTTTAAATCGCAGCTTAGTCACCTTATATGTAGATGACTCATCAACAGCAGCCAGCAGAATTCATTAATTAATCAGTGGTTTAAAATTATGCAATGCCAATTGCCATTTATAAATAACCCACATTTAACACTCTCTACCTCTCTCCTCACACACTCTCACGGGTGCACTAAGACAGTTTGGCATTTTATCAGTCCAAACCATGCGTCAGTGTCGAACGAGCTGGCAACGCTGCGAAGCTGCCAACTTTGCCGGCCGGCCGGCCTGCCTGTTTGCTAAACGTTTCGACCTGTTTTGCTTTTGTGCAAAAAAAAAAAAAGGTGCCTTTTTGCAAACTCTAATTCTGTTGGTACATGTTCATATGTATATGTATGTATGTGTGTTTGCAGCAACTAGGTTTCAAATTTGAGTGCATGATTTTTTCTATTATTGACAAATGATTTTGACACTTAAGACGAGCAACGGCGCCAGGCAAATCTTGCCAGCAGCGGCTACAACAATGGACGCAACTTATTCATTGACGGCGGCGTCGCTGCTGGTGGGTGAATTATGTGTATATGTATAAGTGTGTTTGTGTATGTTTCTTTCTGCTTGCTTCTCTTGTCATTTTGCACAAAAATAAAACAATAACAAAGCAAAACAAAACGCAACGATGACATCAACATTTTCAGTATCCACTTCTCTCATTTATACATGCACACACACGGCGAATTTTAATGCTGATGATAATTGTGAAAAGTGCGCAGCAAAAGAAGAAATTGCACGAACGTTGCCAGAGTTGACGTCAACCGTAGGCAGAGCAAAAGAGGGCGAACGAATATTGAGTGTGAAGAGCAGAGAGCAGCAAGGTAATCAAGATCAGCCGACTGTGGGGAGAGTTGTGCTTGTTCTTGTTTGTGTGTGCGACCGTGCAAATTGCTGAAAATCAAAAACAAAATTGGGCCATAAGCAACAACAATAACAGCGCACACACACACACACACAAATCAAGTTCAACAGATGGCGCACATTTGCATTTCGACTGGCCATGGGGGCGCTTTAGTTCGATGTCGCCAGGGGCAGGTGGCGTTGGGGCTGGCTATAACTTTTCAATGCGTCCAAAATGGCACAGCAAACAACATGCAAAGACAATTTATAGAGTCGCAAATTTTTGCGCAAAGCCAACAAATCACTTGAATTATTGAATCGTCGTCGACGTTGTTGTATCACATGGCTCGTTAGAAAACCAAACTGGGCAACCGAACAGACGACAGTGGCCATTAAGCGCATACAAATATGGCTTGCAGTAAGCTGACAGCAGGGTCTAACTCTTTTTGGCCATACGCACACTTACATTATGCATATTATAAAAACAATAAAATAGCTAAATGCCTAATAATGTGCAAAGAGAGAGAGAAAGAGAGGCGGCGAGCGGCGCAATGACTAAGCTCGCGCTGGGGCGGTGGCAAAAGACAGCGACCACAAACTATAAAAAACAATGCCAAATTAAGCGACAGCAGAAGACACACGCACACACAAACATGCACATAAAATAATGTGCGTCTATGTAATTTCTATTTATAAATGTTTGGGCACACTCAATGTAGTTGACACAAGTAAAGGAGCCAAAATCTATTAATTGAGCATGCAATCTACACTCTCTTTGCCGCTCACTCACTATCGCGCTCTCTTTCGCAGCCTTTGATGTGTTGCAGCTACTTAACTGTGCAATAATAACAAGCACTGTGCGCTGCACTGTTACTGTTACTGTAACTGTTACTCTTGGTACATAATGCTAATGATGTTGAAATTGTGTATGTCTGTGTGTGGCAAGCAACAGCAGCAGCAGCAGCAGTAGAGGTAGCAGCCAGTGCGCACCACATGCAACTGCAGCACGCAACATGTTGCCAATGTTGGCAGTCTGCCTATATGGTTTTTTCTCTCTTTGTTTTTTGGTAGCAGCTCATGCTGCACATCATTAATCTTCCAATGTTGATTAATGCAACATTTTATGCTATTTTCATTATTTTTCTACACATTTAACAACAAAACAAAAAACAGTGCTGCAGCTGAGGCATGAAACCAACGCCAGGGGGCGCCCTTTGTGTATTTAGTTTTTTGCTTGATTATTTCTTCTTAGTTATAATTGATTTTTTGTATTGCCTTAATCTTCTAGTCTTGCTCGCAGAGCGGAAATGATACAAGTCTAGAAAAATGCACCTCGATACAAACTGTGCTCTGCCTGCACCACGAATTGAACATTTTGCTTAGTCAGCTACGAATTCCAATCAATTGGGAACAGTTGCGCTGCACTAGTTTGGCCAACAGACCGGGAAAGTCAAAATATAATTTGGTCAATTAGTGAACAGAGCTGCGACAGTTACGCCAACTCATCTGGCTCGAGTCGACTGACTCAATGAATTATGGCGACGCCATTCATAAAAGAATTAATAAGCAATAAAAATAAATAAACAAGTTGGTACACCGCGCGTATTGTGTAGGAAAACCGGCAAGTGGCCATGGCAACAGTTTTTCGCAAACAAGACAACAGACAAAAAGCATAAAAACATAAAAATAGATCAGACCCAACACAGCACCTACTAAAGATTTGCGAAACCACGTTACATATATGACATTTATAATGGTGTGACAATTATGAAGTAGTCCGCCTAAAATTATTCGCTGGGCTCCGAGTCACCAGTGGCAACGTGGCATGCAACCAATTTTTGCAAAACCAGAGAAAAGTACACACAAAACGGAATGACTAACATGGGAACGTCGAAGAGTAAATACCCTTTCATACATATGATTTAGCGAAATGTGTCTATACTATAACATTGTTGTCAGAGAAGCTCTATAATCTGATTTGAGACAGTATGTTAGGATTATGATAAAGCTCGTAATGATATAGACACTTGAAAGATATATAATATTGATATCTGATATCTTTTATATC